CCACTGCGGCGGACAGCAGCCATGTGGCGCCAATGAGCAGTAGCTGAGGCCGGCCCTGCCGGCCATAGTTCAGCGGCACCGTCACGGCCGCGAACCTGCAGCGTGGAGACGGGCGCATAAAGGCTGGGGCGAGTGCGTAGGGGGCAGAGGGCGGGAAGGGCGGGGCGGGGCGCCCACCTGTCCACACTGATGGCGCATAGGTTAAAGATCGAGGCGGTGCAGAGCATGACGTCCATGGCCATAAGCACGTCGCAGAGGCGAGGGCTCAGTAGCCACTCTCCGCCGTGGACCTGGGCAGCCACGAGAGCGCAAGAGACACAAGACCTGACGTTTCCAGCCACAGACACCGCCGCGGACTTCCTAACACCCACTCTTGAGGAGCAGGGCCTGAGTATTACAGGAAGGGGCCCCAGATGAGCCTGAGGTGGCTGGGGGGCCCCCTGCCCAGGTCTCTTTGTGTTAGGACCGCGAAGCCTGGGGGAGAACCCGTTGTCTGATGTCATCGCGGGAGAGCAGCCTCAGGCCTGGCTGGACCGGACAGGAAGGCAAGAGTCGCCCTCTCTGGCTAAACTGCCTGTTGTAGGACTTGAGATAAGTTACTTCACTGTTTCCTCCTCTGGGATGAGGACGGTGGCAGTATTCATCTCACAACTGTCCTAAGGACGAATGAGTGTAGAAATTGCTACAACCTCGGCACAGTGCCCAGTCCAGGACCATGCATGGAGCACATCCCCCAAAGGGCAAAGAGACAGCCAGCCGTCCGTCCAAATCCCGCTGATGGGGACGATTAGGCGCTCAGTCGGCACGGTGACGTCCGTGCGCAGCTTGGGAGCAGCCGAGGTCAAGTGTGTCCTCTCTGCAGGCCTCCGCGTCAACGTCTGAACCCAGGTGTCCACCTAGAAGCCGGCGTCCCCTCCCCCACGGCGCAGGACACGGCACAGGACACCGCGTCCCAGCACAGCGCTTAAGCGGCTTTGCTCGAACCAAACCTTCGCGTAGAGGCGTGGGCGCCAGGAGGGCGCGCTGGTCTCCCGCTCCCGCACCCGCACCCGCACCGGCACTTGGTCCTGCACTCGCGTGCCGCGGGTGCTTCCTCCCCGCGCCCGCACTGCTTGCATCTCCCTGTGCTGGGACCTTGGGGTGCGCGGGGTGGACTGGCGAGTGCGTGAGTGGTTCTGCGTGGCCGTGGCTCATTCCGTGGTGTATGCACCTTGGGTAGTGGGGGTGGCCGAGCCTACATCTGCCCGTCAGTCCAGCTGGCATGGGGGGGCACTGGACTAGCGGAGTTGCCCGTTTCTGAGGTCCCTGGCTCAAGGGACACAGGCCTATTTTGGGTGGCAGAGGGACAGCAAAACGGCCGGGGGACGCCGGTACCAGGCGCTCGGCAATTTCTGGGGCTCGAGCTCCTGCAGCTACGCGCTGGGCCTCGGCGGGGGCTGGGAAGGGACCGGGACACAGTAGCACCTCGGAGCTCACCTCGGAGTAGACGAAGAGCGGCAGCACGAGCAGTGCAAGGAGTAGGTCGGCGGCCGCCAGGCTCAGGATGAAGTAGTTGGTGGGCGTCTGTAGCGCGCGCTTGGAGGCCACGCTCATGCACACGAGCGAGTTCCCCGCCAGCACCGTGCCAATGAGCAACACGCCGCCCGCTAGCGC